TTAAATGTGTCTTCTGTTTATTCTAAAGTGCCTACTACAACAACTAAAATGAAAGAGAGCTGGGTTTGGGCATACAAAACATCAGTAGACCTGTTGACTGTCTTTTCTTTGTTCTTTCCTTCCTCGTCTGGAAAAGCATTTTTAAATAGTCTCTCACCTTATAAAGGTGTTGGTAAAGGTAGCATACCTTATAGTGATTGGAATCATCACATTGAAAAGTCCGAGAAGAAATGAGTCAGTATTTAATCAGAGCGAGGCTTGAATGTTAGGCAGTAAATAAACACACAGGGGTAAAATCTGTCAGAGAGGATAAAGCAGAATAGAGGATAAAGCAGATGAGTTCTGTCTAGCATAGGAACCCAATTGTAAAGAATACTTAGTTATCTTATATTTGAAGACTGCTTCATAAAACAAGTGTAGATTGAATTAAAGTTGTACAGACACTGTCATAGAAATCTTGACAATAAAATATCCAAATCAGCATGGAAGTGTAAGAGCAAGTTGCAGGTGCAATAAGCTGCAGCAGATTTGAGCATTCAGAAGGTTAATAAAATGACCAATATAATATCATCCAAGCTTTTAAATAGTCGAAAGCAGTCAAGAGAGTGATTGCTGACTTCCATGGAAATAAATGCCTAGATTTATCCAAGTTTTACAAAGGAGACTAAACCTTTCGTTTCTCTAGAAGAGGGGAGTAGATTATGGAAAATTTTCCAAATATTGCCATCTAAATCCTTTGAAATATTTAAGATCCACGTGCATTTCATGCATAGTTTTGTTTTTCCTTCTCTCCTCCCTAGTATGTAAAGAAGGAAGGAGCGCACTATGATAGACCGGCCTTATTTCCTCAACATTTAACCTTCAGAAATGCGACAGCAGCATTTGCATGTGCTTTTGCCAAGACATCCCATTCTCATTTCATATACTGTTTAAAAAGCTATAAATTGAGATGCTAAAAACATTATTTCGGACTTAATATCCAAATATTTTAGTCCAAATATTGGACTAAATCAATTCCGCGATTCTTCATGTAAGTTTAACCATCTAGGTAACCTGATCAAGATCTTGGTATTCCTATTCTTTAAGAAAAAGAACAATTCATTTTACTGATTCAGTGTACAATTTTCTTAATAATGAGTTAGGATTTTGACTTTTAGAAAACTAAATTTTCAATGTGTGTATGTATGCGTTACAATCTAAGTCAAGAGAAACAAATTTATGTTAGTTCTTGATAGCTTCTTGTATTTCAAAAAGAGACCAACTTCAACTGTTTATGAACTGTAATTAAGTTCTTTAAAATGTGACTCATTCTCAATAAGCAAATCCCTTTTTCTTTCGCTTTCTTATGAACTGTGTGGGAAAATTAGGGTTCAATCACTGAAGAATTTACTCAATGCTTAATTACCCTAAACATCTATCCAAGTTTTGCTCATGTAGGGCTTTCATAAAAGTGAGATTTTTCCCTCCACGGTAAATTTCTAAAATGTGCCTTTAAAAAAAAGGCTGCAAATTGTAGTATAGGAGAAGCTAATGTTTTAGCATGATATTAGCTTCTTTCTGCAGTCTATTTCTTTGAATTACTCTTATGTTAATAATGTGATGCTTAGAAAAGCCAAAGTAAGAAATCATAGTGATTAAATTACTTGAGCTGGAACTGAATTAGAAAGCTTTACGTTCCTGAATGAGCTAATTGTTTAAATTTTCCAAAGGAAATGTTTCTATTTCTGTGAGAGAAGAGGTAAATGGAACTTCCTCTGACATAATTTTAACTTTAAAACCAGGTTTGACAGCAAGCTTTTTACCTTCATAACCAAATATTACTGTTTAACTGCATGACTTGTGTAAGCTTGCTAGCTGAAGTGACTCACTTACGTAGATGAAGTTATTTTTATAGAGATAATTTGCACTGTTTAGGGGAGAGAAGGAGAGGCAGAGAGGGAGAGAGAGACCTGCTAAGAGCTAGATCCCTCATTACAGTTTACAGAGCTCGTGAACCCAGCATCCAAGCAAAAGATGACTAAGCAAGGGGTCTATTGGTACTTTCAGGAATTTACAGACATGAGTCATCTGCTTATTTTGTGCAGACGTATCACCAGGGTACTTTGTGAGTCAGCTGTTATTTGGAAATAGCACTTGGATGCAACATGAATACGTTTTTTGTAGTTCTTAAGTATTTGGCAACTAGCATGCCAAATCAAGCATGTTTTTGCAATTCTTATGGTTCAGGTATTGATTTGCAAACCGAGTTGTTTTTAGCTGTGATGTTTTTCATGATAAAGTAGAAATGTTTTCTGGGTTGTAATTAGGATAATGCTTGCCTTTGCTGCATCATATATCACATAAAGGTAGCTCTTATTTGGCATTAATGCACGAAGATTCAAAGTCCATTTGCATATATGAGCAGGTAAAAATAAAAACTTTTATTATCAAACCTGTGTCACCTGACGTGATTGTGGCTAGAAGTAGAATTTGACCTTTCATTTTGACCTTCTTACTAACATTGATTATTTTTATGATGTTTGCATGTTTGTTTTTTTTTTTTTTTTTTTTAGTTTTTAGAAGAACCAAGCACTCTTACAATGTCAATGGATTTTCATCCACTGTGCCGGAAGTAAATTCTTGCCTTTATTTCCTACTTGTGAAATAATAGCTGGCTACCTTGAGATATGTATAACATTTTACAAGTCAAGGCTATTTCCTGTTTACTTGCCTCTTAGGTGTGGTTATGTTCCAAAATTAGGGACAGGTTTTTTTACTTGGTATGTGCCCATCTCACACCTTGCATTTAAAGGAACATTTGGTTTAGAAAACTGGGAGTTTGGTGGTTTTAGGTGAATTATAGTTTTAAAAGTCAAAAGCAGGCCAAATTTTAAAAAATTAAACTTGAAATTCAGGATAATACTGCTGGTCACCAGATGTGGGAAGAAAAATGATGCTGCTTGCTCCATTTATGTAGACAGATTTTCAAAGCAAAATTCATGAAAGTCAGAAATTCTCAAAAAGAAGTTCTGTATTCAGAGTCGACTATTACTGGATTTTTTTCTACTAAAGTTTGTTGTTATTTTTACATAGTGATGAGAATATGAAGTATACAGAGTAGTTTTCCTTCAAGGAATTGATAGCTTTAGAAGGAAGATAAATAATGTGCTGAAGAGATGGCAGTGTTTTCCAAAGTTATTCTTCAATAATTTAGTTACAAAGAGGAATTTGACAGAACTACTTTAGTGTCTAACATTTATTATAGCAATGATCTACCCTTGAACTGGCAGAACTCTGCCCATGTCGTTACTGCTTAAATATCTGCTGGAAGCTGCTATGCAAGTTGAGTCATCAGCACTTTCAGAGTTGTCCCAACTGGATCACAGAGGTGGGCGAATGCTGTGATCTTCGGTAATTTGCTTTATTTTGAGACTATGGCTGGAATATTGCAGTTAATTTTGGTATGCTTCATTGCTGCAAACATATTTAATTGTAGACTTTGCAGGGTGATTTGGGGAAAAAGGAGCTATCATTTGGCTAAAAGCCTATCTAAATATTCAGACCTTTTTAGAAAAAAAAAAAAGAAGAATGAAGGAAAGTGAAGGAATTTGAATAAAGAAAAATTTTTTGAAACTCATGTCTCAATCTGTGGACTGAGATCTCAAAGGAAGTGCTGGAATTGCTCTTCCATGAAGTATTAAAAAGAAGAAAATGTAATGCATTACCAAATGCCTGAGACAGGAGATTCTGCTCCACATGAGGACAGGTTTAATGATGTCATGTTCCTTTCCCTTGAAGCTCTGTTGTTTGTAGCAATTTTGCAATCTGCTTTGATTCTTCCTTTGGCTGTTACAGCTATTCATTAACTTAGGATCCTTTACTTCTCTTTAAAGAGGACTGTGAAGTGACAAATAAAGACTAGTCAGATCCCAGGCTTGCATGATGAATTATAATTTTAGCAGTTTATTTCAATAGTTATTACACCAAATGGGATGGTAATCTTAAGGATTTACAGGGAAATACTGTTCCTTTCATCTTGCATGGTTAAAGAATTGCAGCGTGGGGAATAGCGAAGGGTTTGATTGTAGGTGCCTAATAAATCTACATCTTTGAAAAATTCATTTTTTTTTCTGTCTTAGTCCTGGTTTAGGCATTTAAAGTAAATAATTCAGTGGTTTGTTGTCATAACTCTCAGTGCAACTAGAGGATTCTTAAGTTTCCTGAAATTAAAAGTAGGCCAATAAAATCTTAACTTTTTCATTGTTAGATTTATACTTAAGTGAAAAAATAGTTTCTGACAAATTTAACAGTTTTAGACTATCCTATTTTGTTGGCTGATCTAGCTGATCATGCAACTGTAATAAGCAAAAGGAACTAAGACAGAACTTGGAATTTTTATTTTTAGTGAGATATTTCTGGTGTTAATGACTTTGTAGTGTGTTTTGGAGTTTGTGGCTTTTTTTTGTGCATTGACTTTCAGTCTCAACTGAAAGTTGAGATTTGTTCTAACTCATGTGATTGATTCTTTCTGCATCCTTTATCAGATCATTTAACATCTTTAAACCTCAGTTTACCTAGCTGTAAAATGAGAATGATAATGCTTTTGATGTCCATGGGGACAATGAAAAGAATTGCCTAAGCTGATAAAGAGGAATTTGTTTCTTGAATGGAAGACATAAACAGAATGTGTTTTGATTTCCTTTGAACCATAAAATTTCACTATAAAAGGAAGATGATATTGCCTTTTTCTTCTGTAACAAAATAGTCATGGCATAAGCATTATGGTTATATGATTATAATACATTATCAAAACTTTTTTATATATATTTTACAAAAAGAAATTGATAAAGCAGAATGGTTCGTACAGAAATACAATTAAATCATGAGGATATGTTGGAATTAATCATAATTTTCTCCTTCATCTTTAAATCAATTGAAAGGAACAACATGTACCCAGCAAAAATAGAAAGAAAAAACAGAATGGTCTGTTTTTCTTGTGACACCTTTTTCCTTTCTTTCAGTTGACCTACCCCTGTACTTTCCCCGAGACCAACCAACCCTAACGTTTCAGTCAGTCTACCACTTCACCAACAGTGGACAGCTCTACTCCCAGGCCCAGAAGAACTACCCTTACAGCCCACGCTGGGATGGCAATGAAATGGCCAAGAGAGCAAAGTAAGTCTGGCTGCTATTTCATGTTTAAAAGTCCTTTTGTTTTATGGTTGGTAGAGATTTGATGGGTTTATCTGTACATTTCCAACAGTCTGAAACCTGAAGCTGTTTTGTTCTAATACAGTCCTAGGATCCCCGTATATAAGGCAGACACTTTATTAATCCTGCTCCCTTGCAGTAGTGCCAGAGCACTGATCAGAACAAGGCTTTGCTAGGCATTGTGCAAGCGCAGGGTAGTGGCAGTCTCTGCTCCAAAGCATTTCCGATCTGAATAGACAAGATAGCCCAGAGCAGGGCTCATCTGCATGATAGCAGCCAATCATGGTAATTGCACGGCCTTGTGTGGGTGCAGAGGAGACCCTGAAGGAAAGCATGTGAGGTGGAGAGAGCAAGGAAGAAAAACCTGAAATGTGTGGAATAAGGCACAGCAGAATAGGAGGAGATAGTCCAGTGGCCAGTCAACACAGCGTGGAGGCAACCCTGTCAGAGCTGCAAAAAATTCAACTCTTGCTTCTTTTTACTGCTTTTTCTGTTGGCTTCTGGCTGCTTCCTCTCCTTTTCTATGTGCCCTCATTTCAAGGGCATTTCCCCATCATTTCAAGATGGGGAAATACTACTTCAATCCAATTATCCCCATTAGCTAAAGATGCCAGGGCAATCTCTGCTGCAATAGCAGGCTCATGCAGGCAGCAGTTCTTTCATATATTCTCTGTTACCCTGACTTCTAATGAAGCAAAACAGATTTCACCTGAATGGAGCAATATGGGCAAAGACCTTGCTGCTGCATTTAGGTTTTTGCAAACCCCAAATGTTAGAACAGCAACAAAATTTAAGCAGGTTGGTTTTCAGTTGTTCAGCACATAAAGGCATCAAATTGCATAAGTAACGTGGCATATTGGAGTGAACGTTTTAAATGACAATTGGCAGATTAAATCAAATTAGCAGAGATGCATAAATAAGGGAGACAAATGGAAATAGTTCAAGCTGAGAAAATCAAATAAATGGCATGGTCATACACTGATTGTGATTTGGAAATGATGGAAGCAAGCAATAAATGACTGAAGCATTTGCAGATTTTATAATGCTTTGAATTTTATAGAGAACATGAAGTAATATTTTAGATTTTGATCTATTGTAATAAAATTATTTTTGTTAGTATTTGATTTTAGGAACACACCATCTAGAGGGTCCATTTCTTGATCAAATATGTTTTGTTTTAGTGGACTTGTTTCTTCTTTCTAACACAATGTTATGTGTCCATTGTTTATAAAAAAAAAAAAGAATTAAACCAACTGGGAGCATCACTGTGCCTTGTTTTAGGGCTGTACTGTAAAATGCACTTGTTTTGCAGTTGTAAGCGTACAAGTACCTATGTTCTGTCTGCTAAGTGCATTCATTTATGAGTGGGCATACACAGATGGACTTCTCTGCCCTGCACTTGAAATTTAGAAGTATTGTAACAGTTCTAAAAGGCACTAAATGGGTTCACTTACTCTCCCATGTAAGTTTGTTTTTGTTTTTGTTTTGCAAAAATACACTTTTGTATTTGAGCTTTTGCATTTGAGTTTTAGACTGGATACGTAACGTGAAAAAGATGTTGAGAAGCAGGAAAGAAGGTGTGTTGCAATATCTGAAATAACTGCCTTTGAACTGCAAACAGGCATTACTGTCATTAAAAAACACTTTTCTTGCAGGACCAACTAGTGATTTCTGAATAGGATTCGTAAATAAATCTATATCAAGAAAACTGTGTAAATGCTAGCATTTTTTAAAGATTTTTGATGCAACTTATCTTGTGTAAATATCAGTGTTTATATGTTTGCAAACATTTCTTAGAAGACAAAGTATGTTTCAAAACAAGTAACTGTTTTTTGTTTCATTCTATTTTATTTTTGCTGCTTCCACGTTATCGGCCAGGTATATAGGAATATATGTAGGTGTATGGGAAAGTGTTCTCATGAATGCATTATCTAAGGAACCAAGTGAAATCATCCCAATTAAAAAA